TAATAGGGAGAGAAAAAGTCAGAAAGAGGAGAGAAAAACAGAGAGAAAGATGGAGACAGAGAGAAAGAAAGTGAGAGAGAGAAAGAGTTAGAGAGAGATAGATAGCGAGAGAGATACAGGGGGTGGGGGTGGTGGGAGCTGGAGGCTGAAGTGACAAATGGCCGCTGTGATGGAGCATTGGGGAGATCAGGGTAAAACAATGGCTCTCAGAGATTTCGCTCACTAATTTGGAAAAACAGGGCACTGTTCACTGTCAACACATCGCGCCTGACCTATAGCTCGAACAGTGGGAGCTCAGAGAGAACAAAGCCCGAAACCTGAACAAAGAAAAGCTTTCAACATGCCCCATTTCTCTCCTAAACCTTGACATTGCAGTCATACAGCAGCATGAAAGCATATCTGTATTGCCATGGGCTACTGCTTGAACATGTAGCTGGACCTGACCTTTTATTTGTTGTCTTGTATTCTTCTTGGTTGTTCGAGATAAGGCATGCTAGTGTTCTCGTGCCAAGGCTTTCCAATGTCATAGTGAAAATAATGTTTCTTCTGTACGCTTGTAAAACTGAATTACATGTTTAAAAAATAATCAAAGGGGTTGTTCCATCAACAATTGTATGCTATGTTAAAGGGCCTATAGCTTACATTTTTCTTATATTTTCATTTATCCCTGTGGTTCATTTATATTTATTTGGTTTCATGTACCAAAAACCGTCATACATTTATTTTTATGTGACCATTTTCCAACCTCTCTTTATCACTCTCTCAAAAATTAAAGTCTCTTTTTGCTACTGCACCTTTAAAACCGATACATGTAAATGAGCTCTGTTCTGATTGACTGCCCTGTATTGTGCCTCATTCAAAAAGCAGTTTCAGCTGTAATACTCCTTATAACTTAAGTGAGAATGAGACTAAGCTGCTGAGGGCTGAATAGGTGACTGTATGTAAATATACATTGGTTGTTGTGACATCACAAAAATGCAAAAGTACAAAATTGTTTTTGCAGCCTACTTTCCATATAAGGACTGGGAAGTTACTGGTACTTTTTGAAACTTTGTTTGCATAACAATGTTTGCAACAATGTTTGCATACTACATCAAACTTGGTCTACTCTGTCTAACAGAATGAACATATGTGGCATAATTAATGTTCATATAATGATTTATTTTTTCAGTGTGTATGTAGTGGTCAATCAAGCTTTGTTTGCATACAAGTACACTATATGGACAAAAGTATTGGGACACCCCTCCTTATTATTGAGTTCAGGTGTTTCAGCCATACCCATCGCTAACAGGTGGATCAAATTAAGCACAAAGCCTTGCAGTCCTGACAGACAAACACTGGCAGTAGAATGATGAGCTCAGTGACTTTAACATGGCACTGTCTTAGGATGCCACCTCTGCCACAAGGCAGTTTGTGAACTTTCTGTCCTGCTAGTTCTGCCCTGGCCAACCATAAGTGCTATTATTAGTCAGTGTCTGACCTCACAAATGCTTTTCTGGATGAATGGGCACAAATTCCCACAGATACACACAAAAATCTTGTAGAAAGCTTCCCAGAAGAGTGGAAACTGTTGTAGCTGCAAAAGGAGATCGACTCCATATTGATGCCTATGGATTTAGAATGGGATGTCATAAAAGCTCCTGTAGGTGTAGTGTGTAGGTGTCCAGTACTTTTGTCCATATAGTGTATCATCTATTAATAATACATTGTTCTAGTAGACCTGGATTTTTACCTGTAATGTCTATACCAGCATCTATTCCATGTGGTATGTAAACACACTTGTGGGAATGAATATTATGTATGCGGGATTTAAAAATGTTCTAGGAATGTACTTTCTGCTCTGTTTGCTTTTATTTTGTGTTATTATTAATCAGGATCCTCTTGTCTGACTAGTTTGGCGCTCATATGAACATGAGTAACACCCTCATCTCATGCCAATTCTTAGAATCTCTAAATGCCCACAAGCTATACAGCCCCCGGGTACACTGAATAAAAATGTGACCGTCTCCACAGTAGTGCACTTGCTCCATTTTCAGTATCTTACATTATCTTTACTTCATTATCATTCATAAATAATAGAGATGAAATAAATAATAAAGAGAAAAGAACAAAGAAAGAACAAAAAAAAGAGATAGACAAAATATACATGAGCTGGTGCTGACCTTGAGAAAGTGCAGCAGAGAGAGAGAGAGAGAGAGAGAGAGAGAGAGAGAGAGAGAGAGAGAGAGAGAGAGAGAGGGTCGAGTGGTAAAGAGCTAAGCAGGTGTGACAGCTCTGAAAGCTTTCACAGGACAAAAAGGTTTCTCTGGCCTCCGAGCGATGCTAAACTGTGGCTGCCCCTAACACTGACCTCCCCATTTGCCTCCACCAGCAGAGAGGGAAACTGTGTTCACAGATAACACATCATCTTTTACAGGGAATTAGAGAAAAAAAGGAGTAAATGTGTTCCTGTAGTTAATATGAGGAGATTGCTGTTGCTTCCTGATTGAGTCAGAAACGGGCCCACCATTGTGTTTACCTCTTTCAGAACAGTGGCTGGTTGATTTTGTCGGCTTGAAGTAACTTCGCACATTAGTCTGGTCAGTGTCCTTGAGCATAGTATGTTTACTAAAGATGTCAAAATATAGTCCATAAATTGTATTATGAGCTTCTCACTGTGATCACTGAATAGTAAGATGTAGTCATAAGTATTTTCTTGTTTGTTGTCTTTTTTTGTGCCCAGGCACAACTACATTAGAAATAATAACTCATGCCCTTGAAAATACACTTTTTAACCATACTGAAAACTACTATACACATCAGAACTACAGGGACTATTTACTCCAAGAGAGAAATACAGATCAGTGAGGGGAAAGGTTTGGCCCCTTACGCCACATACAGTCTATCAGGACTGAACGCCTTCTATAATAGTAATGCATAGTCTGTTATTAGACTGTGTCAGTGAAATATGTTGCAGTAGAGACTGCAATGTGCAGCAATCATGTCTACTATAATAGTAACATTGCTAAAAGAGACAATTAGAACTTTAAGATTAAAACCTGATTGTTTTGCTTTCTAATGGGAACTGGCTTAATGGTTACTATAAGAGATCACTAGTTTTCTGTTGGACACTTTTAGATCCCATTAAGAAACCATCAACTGCATCTGGAATCAGTCCTAAGTGAAGGGCTCTATCTAGTTCTACCTAGACATCTAGTTCTTTGGCCTTTGTGTCTCTGTAAGGCTTGTGGTGTGTTCTTGAGAAGGATGCTCTGACACGAGTTAAGGACTTGTTTAAGCCCATCTCCAGTCTATCCTATCAGATATGGTGGCGGCCTTTGGTTCAGGAGCTGGAATTAGGTTTTCCAATCATTGGAAGAGTGAAAGGTGACCATTTGGGAACCTTCAAGGCTTCGGGCCTGACTGAGAACGACTCTTGCTGACATCACGCATGAGGGACACTATCTTTGGTGACAGTTTGTTTCTGAGCCAATCCAGTGCATCATAAAAGTTTATGTTTGTAATGATGAATCAGCAATTGTATGTGTAGATTGTCTATTTTACATTTAATTTGCATAAAGCTATAGCTCCTTTGACCAAGTCTGCTTCAGGGGAAGACACCTGCAGGTGATCTCACCTCCACCACTTTCTCTTTCTCTCTTTCTTCCTCCCACTCTTCTCTAAGTTATAGCCTGCTGATGTTAGTTAAGCCTTTGCGTGCACTGTGATATCAACCCTTTAGAAAAACACGAATTACCATCGTAGTGACTACTGCACACCACAAGGAACCAACAGATTGTATTTTTTTAAAGGGTTTCTATGATTTTTTTCAGCACCGAATGCGTGGATTGTCATTAGTCACTATAAATATGAAACAACTACCCTCACATAAGAGTTTAACATCAATTTTATTGTTTTTTCTATTATGATGTCTTTCCAGTGTCTGTCTTTGTACTGCTGTATTATGGTACAATGACAGTAAAGCTGAGCTGATCTAAACTGCGTATATGTTTTTTGCCAAACCATTCCACTGAACTTTATTACACCACGTGCTCTGTATATTACTCGTTTAATTATACATCTATGTATGTATGTATGTATGTAATTAGACAAGTGAATAAACCAATCAATTACTCTGGAGTAAAAACGTGCTGCCACTGGGTCTTTAGTGACAAGCTCTCACTCAGGCCTGGCGCTTGAAATTACGTAGTTGCACCACAAGGGGGCAGCAAACATTACTATTTTCCTTTAACCATACCTCACCCACACTGCCTCCTCACTGCACTGTTTACACACTCTGCCACCAAATCAGCTGTGTAAACTCAAGGCAGAAGTGAGTGAACATTAACTTTTCGCTTTCATTTATCAGCGTGGAATCATTTGCTCTGCCCAAACACTGACCTTTTTCATTTGATCAATCAGAAGAGGAACGCTCTTGGTTTAAATTCAGCACTTGGCCTGAATTTACACGTGGCCGGAGGACTGATTAGACCTCTCCTCTGTTCAGCGAGGCTTTACTTTCTGAACCTGATCGAATTAGCAACAGGAGGTATAACGTTACAGCTTAAAAAGTGAAGATAAAGAAAGTGATTTAAACAGAAGTTGACTAATTTGGCCGGTATGAACGAGGCTGAAGTTGTCCTATTCGAATTTTTCCGTTCCACCTTAAACGGCACAGTCAAAATGTATTTTCTGCACCATTTAAGGTGGAACGGGAAAATTCGAATAAGAAGCTGAGTTCAGCTTCGTCCAGAACGAAGATTCAGATTAGTTATAAACTACAGACCGAATTATTTTCTGAAGCAAAAACAGAACGAGAGGGAAAATATATGCCGACGTGTAGTAAAAGAAATCAGACCGGTTTAAACCGTAAAAACAGTCCTAATTCACACTCAACTCTCTTTTTTACCTCTAAACCTCCCCCATCCCGAAGTGGGCGGGCGCCCCCCCGTGGGTCGTCGCCGCGACGTCACTTCCGCCCGAGCGCTGCGCTCGTCCTCGTTTCGCCGCGCGCGCGCATTGTTCTTCCATTTGCAGTCCGGCGCGCGCCCGCACGAGGTCCGCTCAGTCCGCCGCTCCGCTCACTTCAAATCACACCGGAGTAAAGCAAAGCGAACAGAACCGAGCCGAAGACAAACGCCTCCGTGTCTGTCGCCGCGGGAAAGTGGACCTTCCGTAGCGGCATCCTCGCTCCAGAACCCCCTGCAGGGATCGCGGTGTGCAGCCCCGCTTCGTTTAAAACTTCTCCCTCCGGTTCCCTCCGTCCCTCTCTCCAACTCAAAATGGAGAACGAGAGTAGTAAGTACCTCCCGCAGCTGCTGGCGGAGAGAGACAGTCTGGACTCGTCCTTCATCCACGCCATGAAGCTCATATCCGCAGGTAAATTAACTACGGAGCAAAAACTCAAACTTACACTTCCACACTTTTCTTTCCTGACTTTGCTGGTCTAAATGAGCGGATGTTCAGTCGGTTAACGTTACGGTTCGGAGGCGGAGTGTCCGTTAAGCTGTGAGGCAGAACACAGAAAACCGTTAGCTATAGTTTCCGTAGTTTACATGTAGTTTACATATACCCTGGAGTTGGCTGCCTGTTCGAATTATACGTTCCACCTTAAATGGTGCAGCAGTTACGCTCCTACAGTCTGCGTTCTGCAGGTATACAGGCGCCTGAGTGTAACCGTTGCACCAGTTAAAGGGGAACTCCACCAATTTTTCAAAATTTCTGCATAATTAAACGGTTGACGTGTCCACAAAGTCAGTCAGGGTGCTTTGGTGTGAAATGCTCAGTCTTAGAGAAACTTACCGAGTAAGAATTGTTCACCGTGGTGGTGATGAATGACAGGAACCAGATGTCTTCGAAAGCTCGTTCACTGGAAGATTTAACATGAAATGGTTATGAATATGCTGCCTGATGAATGCTCTGTCTGAGACATTGTTTACAGTCCTTTTGCCGTAAGGTTTTGGTCTAAAACGTATTTTAATTTATTGTAATCCATTTTTTGCGGAGGGGAACATGCAGGGCGTTGTAAGGCAAATAGTCCCCAAAGAAAACTTTACCAATAGTATTTGACCATCAACATTACGTATAAAACCTCAGAAGACACGTATAGGTTCACTGGAGGTTTTGGGTAGTGCACAAAATGGCTATATTTGTGTTGTAAACATCGTGACCCCTGGTTCCTATCACCACCACTGTAAAGAAATCAGAGTCTGTATGTTTCTCTACAAACGAACCATTTCACATCAAGCCAGTCCGAATGGCTTTGTTTATATCTCAGCCACTGAATTGTGTAGAAATGTTTGAAAAGGCAGTGGAATCCCCCTTTAAGGTGGACCGGAGAATTCGGACAGTAAGCGGGCGAGTAAGAAGCTAACTTTAGTTCGTGTGAACCAGAACTGCCCAGAAAACCGTTACCTAACATCACTAGTATTCAGTTATCAGTGCTGTACTGTGAACCGGAGTAACGCACGTTACCGTAAAACTACTGTGCCGTTAACGGGAAACAAGAAAATTACCACCACTGTTCCTTGCGCGATAAGGTAGAACACCATCACCATTGTTGTTAGACAGTTACAGGTTAGAACGGAGCACGTTATCGCGAGTTAAGCCTGAGCGCCGTTGTTGTCATCGTGAGCCGGACCCGGGGGACCGCGGGATTTCCGCCACCAGCCCTGTGCGGAAGCCGCTTTGTCCCAGTCCACCCCCCACCCCCACCCGACTGGAGCTGCTTTTTACCCGCATAGCTGCGATTCGGCTGGGTTGAGCTTGTGAAGCGCTGCGGGCTCCGTGGATGTCGGTACACAGAGCAGAGAGCCGGTGGGAGACCTCGTGGAGTTTCCCCGCTGCTGCCTGTGGGTTTGCACGTCGACTCGCGGAGACGTAGCTGTAATGCAAACCTGGCGTTAACACGCTGTATAAATTAGAGGATGTTAGAGTGCAGAACTCTAGGGGAGTGTCTCAGATACTAAAATTATCTTTATATAAATCACTGCTGTGAATGCTGAAGCAGCTATTGCAGGTTGTTTGACTAGTGCATCAGTTAGACACTATTTTTAAACATTTGTTTTGTGCTTTTTAAAATAATGCTTCACAGAAACATCAAAATTATACAATATGTTTCCTTCCAAATATAATCCATTGGCCGGGATACACGTGGTCTGTAGTTTTGCACTGGAGCTGTAAAACTCATAATAGAGGACTTACATTACTTTCTAGTTTTGTAGTTAAACTCAGACATCAGACTTGTCGTGGCTGATCGTCATTAGGGGTAGGGGATGTTTGTGTAAATTAGATTTTTTTTTTTGATAAACTGTTCCTTTAATCTGTGTGCTGCACTGGCTCAGTCTGCATGCATGAGATTCACATGGGGCGCTAAATGTGTGGTCTGCAGTGGGTAACTTGTTACAGTGGAGCTCTATAGATCCACTGTTGGCCAGAAAATGTATCCCGAACCTTATGTGTGTCATATGGGAAGTGTTAAATGTGACTATTAAATTTGATTTCTTTTCCCAACAGGAAATGTCATCCTCCTCCCTCTGGTCCAGCTGCACCAGATGTTTTAGATCAGCAGCCCAGTGGGACCGTTACTGTAGATTCAAACCGTCTGTTGATTCCAAATGTGACTGATTCCTATCAGATTTTCCATGTCTCACAGATTGGCCGTTCAGATTTTGCATTAACCCCCCCCAAGAAAGAGCGGCTGATGTATCCGCTCTTTACAGTCCATTAGCTCATTAGTTTAGGGGCCTGGATTGATCAATAATGCTTCTCCTGCATGTCTTTGAAGCAGCGGGTTGTGTTGCAAAACCCAAGGGCCTAAGCTATATGCGATTTTTCCTTTTTTATACATATATAAAACAAAAAAGTGGTCATCACTGACTCGAGGCCTGAACGTATTATATGTATATACCACAATAGACTCTATCTTGCTTTGTTTGAATGTTCTAATATTAAACATGGATAAGTTACGTCTTGCATGTGCTCTTCTATATACGAAGGTGGGTATTGTGTTTAATACTGTTGATTTATTACCATGACTTACTCGAATTAGTCAGGCTAAGCCATGCACGTTGTGATGCATCGCCTTGGCTGTTCTCAGGTTTTTGCTGAGGTTGGCTCATGGTCAGTGTAATCTCAATGGAACGTGCATGTGTAATTGTTCCTCAGCTGTCTGAAATAAGATATGCTCTGATGCTCATGCATCCTAATGCTTCACTTGGTGCTCAGTAACTGCTCTGTCTGGGGGCAAAATAAATGACTAGAGTTGGTTGCATTCACTGAAGTTTAGACAGAGTCGCAGGCGTAGCCACTGGCATGTTGTCTTTTGTTATGAATGACTGAGGACATTCACCCGTCCAGCATTTGGCATTTGACCCTCATATGTGATGTAGTTTAGTTAGCTGTGTTTATTCCTTTTGAAATGAAAAAGCCTATTTGTTTATGCCAAAGCCTGACTGTTCCATTTTAATTACGTCTGTTCACAAATGACCTCAGCAGTTGTCATTTCATGCGGTGTTCTCGCAGATGTGTGATGTCAAAGAGAGAACAGAGCCGCATAACAAGTAAAAGTGACTGCTGCGTCTGAGGGGAGAGTAATTCTCTTCTCTTCTTTTTCAGAAATTGAGAGGGTTCAGAAAGAGGAGGCACCAGAGAAAGACACCGAAACGTACTTGGATCTCTTCACAGCGAAGAATATCAAACTGAAGGAAAGAGTTCTTATACCAGTCAAGCAGTACCCAAAGGTAAGCGCCACACATTCACGACTGTGTGTCTTCTGCTGATTCATGTAGTGCTTAAGGTTGTTCATTGTTGCCTTAGAGTCAGCCACTGACTATCTTTCCCATTATATTTGTGTGTGTGTGTGTGTGTGTGTGTGTGTGTGTATGTATATATATATATATATATATATATATATATAATGTATATATGTAAGTGTATATATACATTATATATATATATATGTGTATATACATATATATATATATATATATATATATATATATATATATATATATATATATATATATATATTAGACAGAAAATAGGATATTGAGAACTTCATCCATCATCAGCATGCAAGCCCTAATGACACTGTGAATGTCTGTTTAAAGAGGTTGAAGGGTTGCTGTTCATTGTGCATTGATAAAGGGTTATCATCATTCAAAGTTGTTTTGAGTGGTGTTGAATGTAGGCTAATCAGTTAGTGATCTGCGATGAAGTGCTACCTAATGGATGCATTTTGAACTCATTTGAATGATAATGTCTGTGACAGTTATTTAAGTAGTCACACAACATTCAGTGTTTACTAGTTCTGGTTCTGGAATACTCTTGCATTCCCAATTTTGGCTCCAGCAAAACTGACTTAACGCTTTAGCCAAGACCTATTCAGGTTTAAAATGGGTTTTTTAAAGCAGCAGATCTGCAAGAAGCCACGTATGCTCTAGGATAAGGATGAGGCTCATTGTTTGTTTCAACAAACTCATCTAACCTTGTCTAAAAAGTTCTGAATTCATATATTTTTTTTTAATGTTTTTCAGTAAAATGCAACACTCTTGCTGCCCTTGTGCTCTTCTTTACTGTATGTGCAGTGTTATGTTCTCCCGTCCCTTGTGGTTCCTCTCCCCTCTCAGTATTTCCACCCTTTAGTCATGCACTTGGAATGTCTTGTGCTTAGTTTGAAATGACTGGTGACGGATCATATTCCTATTCTGACCAGACCTAATCTGCCTTTACTGCTGAAAACTGACAGCAGGGTTTAGTCTGCTTTGCCATGCCCTGTGCTAAAGTCTTACCAAAGATTTCACATCATTATGACGTCAGAACTCAATGTTTTATCATAAAAACATGCTTAATATGGGGGGCACAAGCAGTTTTAAAGCTACAGTTGTAGTCTAGATGTTTGAGAAGAGTGGTCTCTCTACTTCATAAGTTTATTTGACTCCCATTGGATTGACTTCTGTAGCAGAAATTGCTCAGGACTTTTGAGCACTTACATCCTTATTAAGTTTATCGCAGAGCCAGACAATACCGCTGGACTTTGTTCGGCTTGAATTCTATTTAATCTTGTCTTGATCACAGAGATCAAAATGTTATTGAAAACAAGTTCAGCCAAGCTACCTCGAACTCTGGTTTTCGTAACTCTCAGAATTAAATTTTTAATTTTATCTGTGCCTCTTTGCAGTTTAACTTCGTTGGGAAGATTCTTGGGCCTCAGGGGAACACAATCAAGAGACTGCAGGAGGAGACGGGAGCGAAGATCTCTGTGCTGGGGAAGGGCTCCATGAGAGACAAAGCCAAGGTAAACATCAAACAGCTACTGCAGGTTGAGATTTTGGGATTTTATTGGTGCAACGTGGAAAATATTAACCCTTCGGTAACTAGATGTGCAATGGTTCATCCAGTGCAGGTCTGTGAGAAATATGGTTTGAAACAGTCCCAGGATGCATGACCAAGCAAGTTTATCTTTGTAGTCCAACAGCAGCTGAACGAAACAGATGAGCTTTTGATGGTACTTAAAAGCTTCAAAAGCGTGTGCTGTTTTTTTTTCTCTCAAAGTCTGTCTCATGTTGCTTAATTTAGTTAAAACCAGATCAAAGTTATTCCAGCTCATTTTAGAGCTTATTACTGGCCATGTAAACATGTTTTCTGTCAGTCACATCAGCAGCTAATATTGGATGCAGTTTTTTTGTGCAAGTTAGTATTTCTTTAAGATACATTTTGTGTTTGGTTCTGCTAAAAATAACAAAAAAAACTTTTAACTGTCTTTCAGGTGTTTCTAAGCTGAGCCCTGATAAATAATTTCTGAGGATGAGCAGTGTATGCTAGGGTAATTTTAGGCTTTCAGTTAACTTTATTTTTATCATTGCTTTTTTGTTCTTCCGTTCTTAGTAAACAAGGCATTCCCTGTTGTATACCTAACCTCTACTGCAATGATTAGGAGTAAGCGAATCCTTTCTAGGGCTAGGAACAGCAGTTATTTTAGTCCAGTCACTAACCAAATGTTAGGTAAAAGTAGTGCTCTATGCTAAATGACAGATGGGTCAGAGCTATTAGTAGTCCAGTGAGAGTCAATATTTATAAATTAGGGATGCATTGATATCGATACTGTTATTTGGCTGATACCCAATTTACCCGTGCTCATTTACTCATAGTCCTACTCATAGAAATTCGGATACCATCATGATACCTGCTGTGACGTAAGCAGAGTGTAGCTGCTACGATAATGAATAAATGCACTGAAAGAGGCTCTGCTCACACAGAGAAAAACTACTGACTCTGTGACAGTAGGACCAAATCACTGGTTATGTTCTGCCTTGGCAGATTCGAACCAGGAATACACTGTGTGATTTTAGCCCGCTTTAAATACAGACACACACAAACACCATAACAACTACATTCCCAGTATGGGTGGAGACACGCAGGCCAACTAAACGGAAGAGAAAAAAGGTTGACATTTGATACCAAAGTCTGTGTGCTGACTTCACTCTGTTTGACTCAATAGACTAACAAGGTATAAATGTTAATACAGTATTTCATTTTATTTTATTTTTTTTTTAAATAAAATAGGCCGTATTCTTCCGTGTACATCACTGCAATGCTGCTCAGTTTCTCAGCCAGTTTGCTCAGTACTCTGCTTGCAGTGTGTTTTGAATAAAACAGCTTTATTTGAAACTGTCTGCAGACAGAGCTGTCTGTAGAGGCTGCATTTTATGTATAAATGTTAAGGTTTGTACATACAAGATTATTCAAATGTACAATTCAAGTCACCAAAGCTCAAGATTTCTAAGACATCCAACTACAGCTCGACCAGCCAATCAAAATATTCCCAAAAAGACATAAAACTTGAAACGTAAGCTCATCAGATGCATTGGCCTCGGATCTGATTGCTGCAGTCGCTGTGCTACAGAGACAGCTGCTGAAAGAGACAGATCACGGTTCAAAACTATGAAACGTACCTTACTTGCAGCTGTACAGAACGCTTTTCTGCCCGCTGTTCTCCACTGCAGCTCTACTCCATCCAAGGTAACAAATGTTAGCTAGCAAAGGTGGCCAATGCACATCAGTTAAAATTACTAGATTGTAATGACTTAACTGTTAAGGTACATCGGTCTCATTTACTCTTACAATTATGTAGTTCTAAGTAGGTTACTTAATATGGTATCTGACAGTACTGAAATATGTACTCGGTCCAAAAAAAAACTGATAAAATCGATACAACCCTAGTATAAATGTATGAAAGTCCAATGACTTTTTGAAAAATAAAAGACTAAATGTACTAAAATGTGGTAACTGTTGACCGAGACAACAAGATCATTCCTTCTCCACTGTCCCTGGTCTCATTGTCCATGAATTTATTTTCCTTTTACGTTTTACAGTTGTTGAAATAGCATAACGTAAAATGTGCATACACGCTTATGTTGCACTGCAAAAAGATGGCAGTGCAAAAGCAAGCTATCACACATTCACCACAGAGTGCATTTGGAATACAAATTCATGGCGCTTATTAAGTTTAGAAAAGCATATTGTTTATCCCATCTCCAGAGTTCTGGGCCAAGTTTAAGCTTGCCAAACCAGAGTCATGAAAATTACGGCCTGACTTCTAGAACACTGACGTGAATAAATTATACATTTTTCCTACTACTTTTCCTTTTTATTATCTTATCCTAATTTTTGTGCTGTATTTTGCCCTGTATCTTGTCCTATGCTATCTTGGCAACACATCTGTTGGTGTTAGCAGTCTTGCTGATGGCAAGCCGTCAAACCGGAATTGATATTTAAAGTTCAGCAAAGTCTGGAATAATTGTATGAAATATTAATGAATCCTGGGATCCACATTAATGAGTGGTTCCATTTTAATTTCTGAAATCAGCAATTCTGTTCGTGTTCTCTGCATCAGAGCTCTACAGAGAGCCCTAGTTATTCCTCCCAACACCTGTTAATGTTATTTCTTACAGCAAAGACAGGAATTTAGTCAGTTTTCAGCAGCCCCAGTGCAACTGGCCAAAAGAGCTTGGTGATGGATTAACAGTCATGTGGCATGGGATAGGGAAGTGAACACCAGAAAAAGCCAATAAACCCAAGATGACCAAAGTCCTCAGGGCGAAGGTATAATGGAAAAAAGTTAGTAATGCAGCACAAAACTTTAAGATCTCTGTTAAAATTACATGAGGAAACTCATCTTGGTTCTTCTCGTTGAGCTATTTTTGGCTGCCAGTAGTTCCATATATTTCATGTCGTCCTAGAATGATGTGCGCTAAATCAGTGCCGGCTCACGTTCTTACAACAGATGGGTTGGAAAATGCAACAAAAACCTTCTGAATCTAGAAGAAATGGAGCACTGCAGGATTTCCTTTGTTATTCCTGCTCCAACACACCAGATTGAACTCATGAAGGGCTTGATAATTAGCTGATGAGATGTTTCAGGGAGAACACTAAACCCTGCAGTGCTGTGGCCCTCCTGAATTACAGAGTAACACATGCTCAGACCTGTTCTTCACAGTAAGAAATGCCATTGTGAAATGTTCTTTTTAAGTCTCATTCACAATAAAGAAGTGTTCCATGCATTTCCTTTTTGTAGATCAAATTAATGACTACTTAATGGTTATTTTTGCCAGAAGAGATATAAGCGCTCGGAATTTAGTTAGATTACTCCTTTTACTCCTTTGCAAAATGCCATCGCCATTAGCTGACAAGCTGTTCAGTCTTTTCCCTCTTTTTTTTAATAAATTTCTTATTCATCTTGTTAACCAATCCATTCTGCAGCTAGCCAGCTTTGTCACTGTTGTAGTGTTTTTGTAATGGTTGTAAATAAATGAACTAAATCTGTAGCAGCCTAATAGAAAAGATGAATGGAGGATGTAGAGTGATTAGAATGGATGATACAGCAATAAAAGATTGCTTCTTAGAAGTGAATAGAATCCACTGCAGGTGGATGTGTTGCATTCAACAGTCATTTTTCTGTCATTTTGAGTGGACAGATGGGTAGGGTCAAACTTTTAAGCTGTATTTCTGGCATAACTTAAGCAAAGCCTGTCTGCTGTTTTGTTCTTCCTTTGCTGGGGTATCATAAGCTTAGAGGCAGATGCTGTGTTGCATTTAGAAGCTCTTAGTTCCTTGTTAATGGTAATTGGTTGAAATTACTGTCGGATAGTTTTCAGCTTGTAGCCTCATTAAAAATAAGGAGCTGGAGTACCTATAAAATGTGTGGTGTTTGTTCACCAGGAGGAAGGCCTGAGGAGAAGTGGGGAGCCGAAGTACGCCCATCTGTCCATGGAGCTCCACGTGTTCATTGAGGTGTTCGCACCTGCTCCTGAAGCATACTTGCGCATGGCCCATGCAATGGAGGAGATTAAGAAGTTCTTGTTCCCTGTAAGTATCAAATTAAAAAAAAAAAAAAACTCCCCTTCTGGAGCCGGCGGATGGATTGTGTCTGCAGCGCAGGGGTTTTAGTTTACCTCTTCCTGCGTGCAGCGCTACCTCATTTGTTAGTTTCAAATAGGTCAATGTTTAACACTGATTAACTGCTTACATTGTTAAATTAGAGCTTGGCTCACTTTGCTCATGGCTACAGATTAATATTTAATCTGATAAATCACTTTTGCGTTGTCCTCTTTTGGTTATGCAAAATGACGGTCAGATTTGCATACCAACTGTCATTGTTCTCTCTCCATTATAGACTGTGATCATAATCACATTAATCCTTTTGGTTGATGGCCCTGCGTGCAGTGGCACCTGTTTGTCGCCTGCTGCCACTCAGCTAGTGTTTCAGTTAATAGCCGTTCTTGGATTCTCTGCCTGTTCATTAGGAGTTGTGTATTAGAGGAATCTTTAATGCGTCTTTAGACCCTTGCATTATAGTGAAATGTAACTTGACTCTTGAATGTGTAGCTTGAAAGTGTTGTTTTCCCCCTGACCCTGTGCTTGTTCTGTAGGACATGATGGATGAAATTTGCCAGGAGCAGTTCATGGAAATGGGTTATCTGAATGGCAATCAGGATCATGGCGTTAGGGGCCGAGGAGGTCCACTTGTCAGGGGCCGTGGGGCACCGCCTGCTGCACCTAGGTATGACTTGTGCAACATTCTTAATGCTCAGTTCTTGACTTTTGCTCAGTTGTTTTTTGTCTTGACTGTTCCCATTTGTGTTTGTAAGTGATCCATATATGTCATTAGTGTGAAAACACCTACGCTCAATGAACCTCTGTGCATTATCATTAGCTAATATCATTAGCTGCTTCTGACACGCTGCTGATACTGGGTGACAAATGTAATATGCACATATGCAGAGAACAAAAATTCCAAACCAACCTTTCCTATTGCGGTTGCATGGCCATATTTTGGATCAATGCTAACTTAATGGCACAAGGCTCAAAGCTAACAGTATGCATGTATCTGGGTCACAGTTGGGCAGTAAAATCAGATGTGTGCCATTTCAGCCCAGTAATGTGAACATAAACTTATTGTAGTCTGGAGTCTTCCCTCCAGAACTGGACCTCTTACTCTTATGTAGTGTTATCCTTTAAACACTTTTATTTTTTTAATAAGGCTTTGTATGTTGTTTTCTAGGGGTCGTGGCATGCCGCCAATGCGTGGTGGAGTACCTCGCGGTGGTCCTGCAAGAGGTGGAGCGGTGAGAGGAGCTCCAGCAGGACGAGGTGGACTACCAGCCCAGCCAGCCAGAGGTGCCGTAGCCGGCCGCGCCCGTGCCCCAGCTCCAGGACCCCAGAGAATGCCTCCTCCACCCCCACGCCCTCCAGCTCAGGAGAGCTACGAAGAATATGTAAGTTTCCGAAATCACCTCAGCTGAACTAAGTGCCTGTCTGGAGGCTAATGACTTGCTTGAAATCTGTGTGTATGCGGTTCTGTTGTAAAGCTTGACAAATGAGTGCTCATGCAAGGTCGTGCTGTCTCAGCAGTTGCTTCTTTTGACTGATGTTTTCTTGCTTTCTCCTTCCAGTCCTATGACGAAAGCTACACGGAGCCAGCCTACGAGTCCTACGACAGCTATTACAGTCAACCACAGGCGTGAGTTGAAACAACATCCCTTATATTTTTGGGTCATTGTAGACCGTGGCCAAATTTACAGAAACTGTACTAAGGCCATCTTAGGCTTTTAGGGAACCTTGAGGTCTTACTAGATTGATATAGCTTATTTATGCTTTACTGTAGATAGTAAATTCAGAACGTTATGGAGTAGATTTTGCATTAAATCATATGTTATATCTTTCAGAGAACCAGAGTACTATGACTATGGACATGGAGAGACACAGGAAGGATATGACAATTATGGTACGTAGTATTTTTAATTCTTACATCAATACATGCCTTGTTTAGGTTTCCTGAAAAGTTAAAAGCACAGTTTCATACATTTAAGTTTTGAGAATCTGTACTCATGGTATTGAATGTCCCTGTGCATGTTTAGCTCAGGATGACTGGAATGGAACACAGCGTGCTCCTACTGGTGGGAAGGTCTCTGCTCAAAGACAAACTAAGGGGGCATACAGAGAACACCCCTATGGACGATACTGAACTTCACAAGCAGGACGTCATCCATAATGTGTCACCATGATGACTGTCTCCCATGGCAGCTCACGCTTTAAGCAACCCGACAAAAGTAATTGTCCGTCTTTCGGTTTCGTTTTTCTACTCTGGACATTTTTTAAAGGAAACTCGACAAATCGGCAACTGAATGCTTCAAGAATTGAAAGTTCAAGAAGTTTTTGAGGGTTTAGACATTTTAAAAAAGAGCTGATTTTTTTTTTTTTTGTTTGTTTGTTTTTTTTATTATTTTGGTTTGCTATTTTCATCTGCCCTGCTCTTTTCTCACTTTGCTTTTTTGCATTGTTTATAGTTTTTTTTTTTTTTTTTCCTTCCTTCCTTTACCCTCTCCTCCCAGTGGTTGGGTAAAATATTTAATTTGAAAGTTAAAGCCTAACAACTGTGTAGCCACCTGTTGAGTGTCTCAGGACACAACTTTAATTTGTGTTGCTTTTAAAAGAGTCTATAGAGATGCAGTTGCAGATTCCCATTTAGGCTACATTTCAAAATTCTGCTCAATATTAGGAAATCAAAAAAGCCATTTAAATCAAATCTTTTCTTTTATGTAATGTAAGAAACGTTAATTAAGGAAAGGAAAAATCTCTTTAATGACATTGCCAACAACCATTGATTATTCCTTATTTGTGTTAAATAGTTTTAAAAGATGTAAATTTAGATTTAGGTTTCAATATTTTTCATTGTATTTTAGAGTTTTGAAATATAGCCCTAATAGACACTGTTGAGATGGACTGTCCTCAAATCCTTAATTTGTTAAAATAAGTTATGGCTCTTCAAAACTGTTCTGTAAAATGGCCTGTTTTTGGCTACTTATGATTTAAAAGATAAAATAAGTCAAATTTTTCATGGAGGATACCATGTTATATAAACTGCATGCACAAACTGCTTAAGAAGGATTGGGACAACAATCTCTACAAGGGTCACCTCTTCCTAATGTAAAGGGATACTGCAGCTAAATCCGATTCTATTGTACATAGTTTAAAAAAAACTACGTTCAAACTGTACTTACTGCCATTTAGTCTCTGTACCCTCTCCATAAAATGCAGAATGCTACATGTGTAAGCTTGCCTAAATAGGTAACTAAATCTGTCCAAAAATGTTTTGCAGCAGTTGTCAATAAAGCCTAGTTTGTTTTTTATGAAACCTTAACCTGGTTTATTTTTCTTTTCCTGTCATTATAAAAGCTGAAATGCCCTTTTAAATAACTTATAACCTTCAGTTACATCAACCTTTCTTCATCTTCAAAACAGATTTTAAATTTAAACCAATGCATGTAGAGTGGAGACGTAAATCACACTAAAGGACTCTGTTTAAAGTGTTTCATTTGATTTAAAAAGCGCAACTTTAATCTTTCTCTCTCTTTCTATACTTAAAAAGGACCCTAGAGGTAAGACCTGTGCCTTTTAAAATAACCTGGATAGCTTCCTAATGACTTTAGAGAGCTAAGCATTCGGTGCTTGGGTATGTATAAAACTTTTCTTGAATGACGTTTTATTTTTGGTCTTACAATGGGAAATGTCTTGACTAGCTTGAAATAACAGAATTTAATAAAGTTTAGCTCCCAGGGTTCATATTTTGTCAAGTTTGAAGCTGCTTTTATTAATGAAAGTAATTGACCTAGTCAAGGAGAGGACTGATAAACCTTAAGTGCAGCATTGTAAAGGTAGCCCTAACCCTAAATTTGTACTTGGGTAGTGTGTCATGTCTTACATTTACATAAACCTCTTGCCGTGTAATGAATTAAAAGCTACAGTCACCAAAATAAAAGTAAAGGGGAAAAAAAATTACTCAATCACAGTGATAGATTTTTTTTTTTCTTCAAAATATTCTGATATACTAACACATTAGATCAGAAGTGTAATGCAACTCTTGCTAAAAGTTTTTAGTAATAAGTCTGTAATAGTGTCTTGGTAAAGCTGCTGCTATTTTTTTTTCTTTTGCATAATTGACACAATGACTTATGTGATATTTTCCAATTGAGAATTTCATAAAGCTTGAGTTGCATGATCTAAACCTGTTTTATAGATTGCATGTTTTTTTTATATTACACAACTGTCAGATTGTAGTTTAATGCAGAGTTCAGAGAGTCTTTTCTCTTCCCTTAGGTAATGGTTCCTCGAGATCCTGGCTTGGAGTTGAGCTTTACGTGAGCTTGAACTCTTTTTCTCAGGTTAGTGGTTGTTTTATCTGAGATTTTACATACAATGCAATTTATATGACAAATCTCGTTAGCATCTCTATGAAGCGTTCAAATTGTGTTACAACCACACTATATGTCCAAACGTTTGTAGACACCTGCTCATCCAGTGTTTCCTATTAAATCAAGGATATTAAGGCCCATATCCTACATTTTTGACTTGCTTTTTAATTTTTTTTTTTTTCTACAATCTCTGTTCTGATTGGCTGCCCTGAATTGTCTCATTCAAGATGCAGCCTGAGCTGAAACAGCATGAATGGGCAGAGCTACACTGCTATAGGCTAAATGTAAATGTTTTTTGTGACATCACACAAACATCAAAGTCTTTTATTTTCAAAAAAAGTGTGAAATTCAGTGTTGCGTGATAACAGACCCTTGAATATGGCTGCAGTAACAGCCTCTACTCTTCTGAGAAACGCTTAAGCTAGATGTTGGAACATTTGCTGTGAGGATTTGATTTCATTCAGCCTCGAGTATTAGTGAGGTCAGGTACTACATGTTGGACGATTAGTTCTGGATCTCAAACTGCACTCCAACTCTTCCCAAAGGTATTAGATTGAGCTCCATCACTCTAAAGAACAGAGTTCCACTGCTCCACAGCTCAGTGCTGGGAAGCTTTAAATCGCTCTAGCGAATACTTGGCATTGGGCATGGTAACCTTAGGCTTGTGTGTTGCTGCTACAGAGTGTCCTGTTGGTCACTGCTTTTCTATGGAGAGAATTCACAAATCAGATTGGTGTCTGGATACTTTTTGATATGCAGTGTGGTCAGAACATGCCTTGGTCGCTTTTGCTGATTTGACTACTCCCACTCTCCTGCAGGGAAAGCTGTTGATTTTTGAAGCAAACTTTTGAACACCACCACCACTTTTTGGAAGAATGCTTGAATCTGCACAGATGGAGTTAAACAGAAGTTCTGTTGGACAGCTTTCAAGAACGCCAAGACGGAGTGCTAGCAAAGTGCATCGGCACATCTTAAAAAGGAAAGAAAAAGGAAATCAATGTTTTTCTCAGTGCTGCTGCCAAGGCGTGCAGCAGCAGGCACTTATTGAGCTGGAGCAGAAAAGGGCTTAGTTGTCCTAGAGCCTTCAGCTGTGTGTGGTCACATAATGGAAATGAGCCTGGGTTATTGTTTATGTTTCTGGCACTTTTTATGTTCACCTCATTAAGGCCTTTCTGAAGCACACTTAATGTTGTCCTTAAAATGACCATCGTGTTTTTGTTGTCATGTCTGTTTTCTCCTCAGCCATTTCTTAGCCATGAACTCAACTAACAAAAAAATACTCATTCTCTCCCTGCTCTCCTGGTCTACCTCAGATAATGGCACAGTGTTTTATTCTCTCAGACAAGCATCCCCTTGTCACACATGGGCGCAAACTCGCTCAGAGCAGCGTGCATTCTAATGTGGAACTAACTGGCCCGTGTGTCTGTGCACAGTCCTTGTCTTCATGTTTAATTGCCATGGTAATTTCCGTCTTGCTCTTGTGCCAAAGCCATCCTTTTGAACGAATGTGTGCCGCATGAACTGTTTTTCATTTACAGCAATGTGCGCACAGTTGATGCGCTGTGATTAATTGTGTGGCACAGACTTTACTGTAAGATTTTTTTTTTGTGTGTAATTTAATAAAATATTATTATTAAACATGGTGTCAGCATTGGGGATTAGTGATTCCCTCACAGAGGAGATTCTCTCCTTAAAGCAAGAGGCATGTCCATATTTGCATGGAACTTTGAATCTGTCTTGCTGTGTGTTGCTGTCCACTTTGTGGCTTTCTTGGCCACAGCTCACTCGACAAGAAGCAGATTTCTACGGTGGTTTGATAAATACCCGTCTTAGATTCCATGCTGTGAGACGCAATTATATCTACTGCAATTATATCTACCACCTTCGAACGAGAGGAATGTGTAGCAGATGCACATTAGTACTGTTTTAGTAGAAGTTCACCCGTGTAAGATGGCAGTTGCTGTTGTGAGCCAAACTGTCTACAGCTCAAAGCATCTGTTTAAGCCATCATGACTTTTATAGTCTTGCTCAAGAGTTTGAGAATCACAGTGTTCTGAACTTTCGGATGCAAGTTATCAAAGTTGTAACAGCTTAAACAATGTCCAAGTAGAGGTGACAAAGGTGTTTCATGAGCATCAGTAATATTTTTTCAAGCCCAGTCATCCATAGGAGAGGCAAAACATAGTCTGCTGGTATCTTTACAGAAAAGTGCAGATTCAATGTAAGTGTTTTACCCCTTTATGTCCAACAAGTAAATCTAGTGAGGGAAGGATAAAGTGACACATTGTGTCCTGATTGGTCTCAAGTGGTGGAGTTTTATGTAGTTGCAGTTTTTAAAAGTACATCATTTTTGGTATTCTGTATTATGATTTACTTGTACATTTGATTCACCTGCACAATAGCAAACTAGAAAACTTTTGCTATATGAAAAACAACTCGCTGACCGTCCAGAAGAGAAAATCAAACAGTGCTGGTTGAGCATTGGTTGTGCAGGCTCACACAGTCCGTGTCCAGAAGACCTTAAGCTGTCATTTAATACAGGGATGTACAACCAAATAATATTATTTAATAAAATACAAAATACTAACTCGCACCGAAAAAGCACTGATTGAGCACTTTTTGATTGCCTTGAGTTTTCGGTGACTTACTGGTATCATTTTGAGTTTGTTAGTAAACCTGGTCATTATTGCTTTAATAAATGATAACTTTAACGTTTGGACAGTAATAAATAAGCATGGCACATGTATTCAGACAGAGAAAAGACTACTTTTGAGCACTGTGTATCTATAGTTATACATTAGATGAATGTCTGTCACTACTCAGCGTCAGTGGTGATAATTGGAGCTAGGGTCGACAATGTCTACAACACAAACAGCCATATTATGTACTGTCAGTAATAACCGGTGAACCTACATGTGTCTTCCAAGTCTTTATTTGTGAAGTTGTTGATGGTTAAATTGAGGCAAATCTGGGAAAAGTTTTCTTTGAGTACTATTATGCTTTGCAAAACCTTGTATGAAACTCTACCCTTGGTGTATTTTAAAAATTTGGCCAAAATCGTATTTCAAAACTATCGTAAAACAATGTCTCAGCATATTTATAACCATTTAATGTAATAACTTTCTGTGAGAGAGCGCTTAGAGGCGTTAAACTCTTTGGACGTCTGGTTCTTAACACCACTGTGAGTTTCTCTAGAACGGGGCGTTTCCCATCAAACCTGACTGACTTTGACATCTTAACCACTTAATAATGCATACATTTTGAAACGTTGGTGGAAGTCTCCTTTAATGGGTAAAACGTGCTAGCTTTTTTAGCTTTAACTACATTGGCTTTCTACATGTATGACATCAAATGCTACCCTGCACAATAATGCTGTGCTAGACCTGGTTTGTGCCTGCACCTCAATCTTTTGCTAGTATTACTCCCGCTGAACGGAGGCATGTCATTCCAACCAATTACTGTTGATGACAGTGTGTCAGTCCCCTAGAGGTAGCACTGATTGCTGACTGGCTAACAGGAACTCTGCGTTATTACATTAGACACAAATCACTCCTCACCACAGATTTTAATAAGCATTAGCGTGTGCTGAAGCTCCATCGAACAGCCGTGCGTATGTGTGAGTAGGAGGCTGCCCAATCTGCAAATGGGCCTCAGTATAATGAGAAACCACAAAAGCAGATAATGGAAATAATACATTTATGTTTCTGCTGGGGGAAAAGTGGAGAGCTCTTTAGAAAAACTCAATATTCAGGTCATCTTTCTGCAGCTAATGATTTCATGTATACCGTTTTAGAGAGAATGAGTTGGGGAGAGTGTGCGCGCTGTACATGTGTGATCTATGTGACCTACAGCTGCAGGGGAAATGCCTGTTACAATGGGGTGAGTGGCATGTGTGGCGCTTTGCATTACGGCTGAATCTCAGCTTGTGGTTTGGCTTTCTCTTCTCTGCTACCCCTTTCTCCAGTGCATACGGAGGGCAAGTGTGGTGTGATGAGAGCTGAGGTCATGAACCGAATTTCTCATCTACTTTCTGCCTGTGGGTGCATATTTTCAGCAAAAAAAGAATAAAAAATCAGACAATTTTTTACACCCCTTGTGAAAAAGATGTTTTAGTACTACACAAAACTATAGTATAGTGCTTCAGTCATAGTCTAAAATATTTTTGCCTCCTTTAACATTCATGTAGTAGGGTAGAGGGGGTAAAATATAACATGGATGTTTTATGTAATTGGCTCTTCTTGTACTCCCATACTAACATCACCTGCAGATTTTCACAGCAATCGGACAGGTATTTCTTGAGATTCGCTCTGCAGACTGGTTTTGTACCATAAGAGTAACTTTTTTTAATCACACCTGTTTTTTGATTACTGAGTTGCATGTACAGTGCTGTGAAACAGTCAGAGACCATCCTTTGTTTGTTTAATTTCCGGTCAAAATAGCCAAAATAGCCAAGTACTGCAAATTAAACTATTAGAGGAGATTTTTTTAATCACTGTGAAAAACGCAGAAAAGTTTTTTAACGGAACGTTACACAGATGTCTCAGCAACTAAATATAATCTCATGATTTTCAGAATTCAACTTTACCTTTATTACAGCTTCCATTCTTTTCAGGGGACTCACTTTCAGTTGAAGAAATCTGCAGGGATATTTTTCCACACCTCCAAAGTTCAGTCTAAGGTTCAGTGCATTTTCTGCTTCTCATGATCCAAATAATCCCAAACATATTCACTGATGTTCAGGTCTAGACTCTCGAGTGGTCAGTCCATTGTTCATTGTTTCATTTTCTCCATGAGGGCTTCTTGACAGCTACACGTCCTTTCAGACTCATAGCACTGAGTTGTCTTCTCACAGTGGAAGGATGGACAGAAACACCTGTGGATTTGTTCAGATCTGAAGCAGCTTGATTTTCACCTCTCTCTCAAAGATGAAAGCTTTGAGTGCTGTTTATCTGCTGGGGACAGTATTAGTGATCTATCAGGTCTTGCACAGTTGTTAGGAGTTTCACTTTCCCTGTATATTTTTTAACATCTTTGGAACTCCACTTTTTGGAAACTACTTTGACTTTCCCCTTACTTATGCAGGTGGATTACTTTATATTATCTACTCTCCTCAGAATATCTTCTGAAAAATGAATAATTTCATGGCCGGTTTGACTGGAAACTTAATAATGGAAGGGTCGACTGACTTGCATATGTGACAGAACTGTTACACAGCCTCTTTTACTCAATTAATTATATTTGCTTCAATCTACTAGGCATTTTAGCCACAAAATACAACAAGCCCCTACATCTGTTACAGTTAACCCTGTCTATGTTTGTAACATTAGCACTCACTCTGCTCTCAGCTGAATTGTTCATAAACAGTAAGTGCTGGAAATGAAGTCTGGATTTTCAGATATCTATAGTCTATAATCTTATCTATAATACTTGTGTGGTACCTGTAGTAAACTATACTAATAGTTAGGGACCATTTGAAAACACTACTACTAATTAATAATAATACGTATATTAAAAGGTAACATTTATTCCCCGTCTCCCATAAAGCTGCCATTTCATATGAGGTTTTCTTAACACAGTCACAACGTGTTACTCGTTCATAGTGAACCAGTGCTTGCTTTATGCTCTTTCAGACCTGCTAATGCATAGGAGAGGTTAGAAGGGGCTGAGTGTGCCTGTGTTTCTGGCTCTGGTCCTAGAGAAGCATGGCTGTAAGCCACGTATGCAAGTTTTGAAATGAAACACTGTTATTACCTAAGCCTCCTAAAGGTCTCTGCCTCGCTAAACACAGAAGGAATTGAATCTGGCCATGTGGAATTTGGCTTTAACGGCTGTCTAGGAGTGCGGTTGGACACCTCAGCTTTGGCTGCTTTCCCTTAACCTCCCAATGCACTGTTCTCCTACATCCAGATAAGTAATGGAAGTAATGGAAAAGAGTCAGAACAAGCGATTGACCACGATAGGACAGTTTCTCCTTTTCGCTTCTTTGGAAAGTATTGCTCTATTTCTGTCATTACTCCTCTGGCTTTCTGGATAGAGAAATACAAAACAGTGACACTGGAGATGAAATGGCACTGTTCATACTCATTTGTCTTTGCTACTTGGCTGCAGTCTGTTTAAATGTTGATACAACTGAGGCAGCTTCAGAGAGTAAATGAATAATTACTGTCAAAAGGAATTGAGAATATAGTCCTCGTCGATAAAATACTGATTTGCGCAAACCTGTAAATGCTACATTGATGTAAATCACTCTTAAAAATTAAAAATGGCTTTCTAGTGGTGATACCGACATTCTTCAAACCCCTTCTGTGCTCTGTTCTCATAACGCTACAGCCTGCTTTCTGCGGATGCAAGTTTTCTGTTGAAGGCCTGATGTACTCTCTGATACCCAATCTAGCCAAAGTAGGGCAGCTATAAAAGGCTGATGGATATTTCTCCAAAAATCACTAGCCCTGCTGAGAAACAGGTTGCTGTGCTGGGTGATGTGTTATGAACCAGAAAAAAAAGGTAGAACAAAAACGAGCCTCACTTGTGCTCTGTTTGAAGTTCTTCCAAATTTCTAGGGGTGCTTTTTCTCCGCAGCCCAGAAAACCTGACTCATTCTGCACTTAAAAAGTTATGTTCAGCTGAAAGCAGGCCTATTGAATGTCCATGCTCTTT